GTAGCACGGAAATGGCCCGGGGTAAAGTCTAAACGGGGGGGGGGCAAGGAGGGGGACTCATTGGTGGTGATGCTCCAATGGTCCTTTAGGCAGTTGACATTTTCTGTCTTGGAACCTACAGTATGACATGTGACTGCGAGATGTGGGACTCTAACCACTGAACTCCCTGGCTACAGATGAAGTTCTTGGCCGGGGAGGGGGAGGGGGGTTTCTAGGCTAACCACTGAGCTCCCTGGCTGTAGCTGATTCTCTTGTTTGGAGGATTGCTGCTTTAACTGCTAGCTGTAGAGGAGGGAACTAAAGCATGAGCCTCTGGGCTGGGATCAGCCCTACCAGCTCCTCTCAAGGATGCCTCTGTAGACACCACCATGGCTTAATCAGCCCTAACCAAATCAGCCACTCGTTATAAGGCTATTGTGTGTGAGTCCAATGGACTTGCTTTTCTGCTTAATCTCCCCTTTGATGCAATGGAAAAACAAATTGGAATCAAATTGGCATTTAGACTCCCTAGGCCTGTCTTCACATTTTTAAATGTCACCAGCAAATTTGCTTTGGGGATCTCCACACAATCTGCAAGCCCCAGCCCCTGCACAGGGGGCAGAGAATGGAGCAGACCCTCCTGACGACTTCTTGTCATCTGACCCCACTTGACTGTTCTGGCTTCCCAGAGAACCTCTTCTCTGTCTTGGGAGTTTGGTTTCCCACAAAATAGGAGGTGTTGGGTACCTCTTGATCCAGACAATTTCAAGTAATGTCACTTAATTTAATAAGTAGCTATTAAGCACATGATGTAGTAGATGACAAATGGCCTCAAACCAGAAAGACCTGAATTCATGCCCTGCCCATCACATGTAGGGGCTAAGTGACCCTAGATACATCATTTAACCTCAATGCTGTAGGCCAGAGGTGTCAAATTCCAATACAAACAGGGGCCATTGGACCATACATAAGAATCCCTACAGGCCACATAATTATTTAGAAAACTACATCTGCTTATGTATTTCTTTTTTTATTAATCCCTTAATACATTAAAATAAAATAGGAACTACGTTTTAATCTGATTCAGGAGTATTGTGGGCTGATTGTAGCCCATGGGTCATATTTTTGATGCTCTGTTCTAGACCGTTCGAGACCGTTCTTCAAGACTAAAATTTGAGGAGAACATACCAACCCGTAGTTTCTCCCAAGAGTTTCTTCACTTTCCCAGTTCCTAATACTAGGAAAATCACAATTCCAGTTCTTTTTGCAATCATTATCCATCAATGAATTAATGAGCTTTCTTTTTTGCTTTCTTTTTTTATTAATTTATTTTGAATTATCAACAATCACTTCCATAAGCTTTTGAGTTTTAAATTTTTCTCCCCCTCCCTCTCCTAGACGTCATGTAATCTGATATAAACTATACATATACATTCCTATTAAACTATTTTCATATTAGTGATGTTGTAAGTAGGAATTAGAACCAATAGGAGGAACCACCAGAAAGAGGAAGTAAAACACAGCAGAAGAAAAAAAATAGCAAATATTATGCTTCGATCTGCATTCAAATTCTATAGTTCTTTTTTTCATTGTGGATAGCATTTTCCATTACAAGGTCTTTGGAGACGTCTTAGATCATTGAATTGCTGGGAAGGGTTGAGTTTATCAATATTAGTCATAATACAACGTGGCTGTTATCGTGTACAACGTTCTCTTTTAATGATCGTTTATTAAGGACCTACTATGTACCAGGAACTGTGTTAAGCAATGGGGATACAAAGAAAGGCAAAAAATCAGTCCCTGCCTTCAAAGAGGCTACATTCTAATGGGAGAGATGACCTGTAAATGACCAGTTACATACAAGATTTCTACCAGGTAGACAGCAAGTCATCTCAGAGGCTAAGGCCCTGGATGCAAAGGGCACCAGGAAGGGCCTCCAGCAGAATGTGATGTTTGAGCCAAATCTTGAAAGAAGCTACTGCAAGTCTGTGCCCAAAATGAGTTTTCCTTCTATAGAGGGAGCAGGGATATGGCATGTCCAGATGAGTAATAGACGTGGTAGCATATGTGGGGACAGAGAAGACACTCGCATCAAGTTCTCCAAGAAAATTGAAGGTGGATGAGGCAGATCAGGAGGGGGTGCTTCCCAGTGGACCCTACAATCCCATGATTCTGAGTGTTGGCAGCTAGGCTGGCCCTTGGGGAAGAGAAGGATCTGGACCCATGGAGATGAGGAGAGAGTGCATTCAGCCTTGGGGAAGTGGAGCAGGTAGCCTGCATTTGAATGTACAGAGGAGGAGATTGGGGAAAAGTAGTTCAGCTGGGCTGAAATGTAGAGCATGTGAAAGAAAATGATGTGAAATAAGTCTAGTAAGGAGGCTGGGAACCAGATTATATAGGGAGGGGGCTGAAGTGGTTCAATTTTATCCTGCTGGTAATAGGGAGCCACAAGGTAAGATAGAATGTTTAGATGTATGCATTAGGAAGATAATTTGGTCACCTATGTGGAGAACGGATTGTCAATATAGAAGAGACCTTGAAAGAAATCCACTCCAACCGCCTCATTTACAGAGGGAGAAACTAAGGTCCAAAGAGAGATCACAGTCTCAAGAGCTGGAATAGACTTTGGAAGCCATGGAATTCTACCCCCTGACTTCCTTCCAGCCCCAGGGCTGGCTCTCTCCAGTACTTTTGTCAGATCAGATCATATCACCTGACTGTGTGACCATGAGCAAATAATCTGAGCCTCAGTTTCCTCATCTGTAAAAAAAGGTGAGGGGACCATAATATCTTCAATGTCTACCTCGCAGGATTGTTTCCAGGCTCAAGTGAGATAGTGTACAGAAAGCACTGTGTTAGCTTTATCAATATCGATTATAACTACAGATGAACAAACTGAGGCCAAACTCCCAAGTCCAGGCACTTTCCACTCCCCCACATTTTGTAGACAAGAAATATTCTGGGAACAGTTCCCTCTAATGTAAAGACACATGAACTCAAAAAACCATAACAAAGGAGGCTAGTTTACTCTCTCCCAGAATATATCAGAGACCTTTCCAAGGTTCACTTGAGCTGAATTCACAGCGCTGGGAGAGGACCTGATTCATGAAGTGATAGGATCTGGAGTCACTGAGATCTTGACAGGCTGAACGGATGAACCAAAATTAGCAAGATGAAATTTCGCAGGGGTAAATGTCAAATCGTGCCTTTTTAAAAAAAAAAAAAGATTGCATAAATATGATATAGGAGAGACCAGACTTGGTTGCAGTTCATAGGGAAAATACTTAGGGATTTTAGCTGACCCAAGTGGCTGCTTGGAAAATAGCATAATCTGCACCAATCTTCAGCATGGGCCCTTCCTTTCCCATTACTCACCCCTACCCATGTCTACACCCTGACTTTGGATTCAAAATTGCCTCTGTCAATTACTACCTGAATGAACACGGAAAAGTCATCAGTTTCCCCATCTGTAAAATGGGGCTCTTAAGTGGCAGAGTGGATAGAGAGGGGTGCCAGGAATCAGGAAGACTCATCTTTGTGAGCTCTAATCTGACTTCAGACATTTACTAGCTGGGTGACCCTGGGCAAATCACTTAACCCCTGTTTGTCTCAGTTTCCTCATCTGTAAAATGATGTGGAGAAGGAAATGGCAAACCACTCCAGTGTCTTTGCCAAGAAAAATCCCAAATGGGGCTTCACAGAGGGTCAGAAACAACTAAAATACCGAATAAAATGAGGAGATTGGAATACATGACTTCTAAGGTCCTTTCAGCCCTAAATCTCTAATCCACTGATGCCAGGAATACAGAATCTCTACCATCTATAATCCCATTGGGTAGACAAGCTTTGTAAACATCAGAAGATAGGTAGCTCCCAACAGATGGCATTGGTGGCATAGAAAGTATTGTAAGGATTCAGGGAGGTGAGAGATCACTTTCAACCAAGGTACTTAGAGAAGGGTCCCCAGGGTATGTGGCTTTTGAGCTGGTACCCTGGTAAGAAACAGCATACACAGTAATCCTCTAAAAACAAATTTCTGAACTTAACAAATACCAAATAAAAATGATCACTTCCATATATATATAATATATTAATAGAAAAAGGATTATCTATGAACTTGATCCTAATTGTATATAACTTGCTTTTAATTTAAAAAATGTAATAAAATCAACATATAACTTTCAAAGCTATCCTGCTCGTCTGTGATTCCTTTAACCTTTGTTTGCTTCAGCTTCCACATCTGTAAAATGGGGATGATAAAAGCACCTACCTCCCAGTGCTTTTGTAAGGATAAAATGAGTTAATATTTGTAAAGCACTATAGAATAGCTTGTTTTTTTTAATTCAGTGGTTTTTTTTTTTTTGCTTTGCTTTTTTTGGGAGGAAACTCTATCTCTGATTCCCTATTCCTCTCATGTCCTGCTCCCCCCAGTTAAAGAAAAACAAAAACAAAACCTGGTAATATATATGCCAAGTCAAGCAAAATAAGTGTTCACATCTGTATGTGAAATACTGTGTCTCATTCTGTGTCTTGAGTCCATCACCCGTCTGTCATCATTCTTCTGCCGGTCCTCTGGAAATCACGGCCAGTCATTGCACTGATCAGTCTTCTTCAGTCTTCCTAAGTTGTTTTTTTTTTACAGTGTTGTTTTTACTGTATTAATTGTTGTCTTGATTGTGCTCCCTTCACTCTGCAGAAGAATCTTCCTCAGTTTCTCTGAAACCGTCCCCTTCATCATTTCTTTTGCACAATAATGTTCCATTATATTCACATGCCATAATTTATTCAGCCACTCCCCAACTGATGGGCATCCCCTTAGTTTCTAATTCTTTGCTATAAAAAACAGGGCTGCTGTAAATACTTTTGTACATATGTTTTCTTTTCCTCTTTGAGCTCTTTGGGATATAGGCCTGCCAGTGGTATTGATGGGTCAAAGGGTATGCTATGCCTCATTTAGTGACTTTTGGAGTTCCCTTTGCTTGCTGAGTGAGAAATGCTCCTTTTCCTGTTTCTTTGGACAGGTGGCTGGACTCTTCCATGACCCCAGCATCGGCAACCCCATCCACATCTCCATCGTGCGCCTGATCCTGCTGGGAAAGGAGGAGGTAACCCAGTTAGAGGCTCTGATGCCTGCCCTCTCTGGAAGCTCAGGGTACTGGGGGTCTGGCCTACCTTAAGCCAGAACCCAGGTCCCTGAATGGTAGAGTACATTGAAAGATCTGCCTGCTCCCAAATCATTTTCCTATTTGCCCATCACTGCCTGAAATTTCAACCAGGCACTGTTCTTTTGGGTTGACTCATTGACTGTAGAAGGGCCCTGTTCAAATTTCCATCCATTAATTCATTTAGGTAACACTTTAACCCAATAGAATAAATGGCCTGGGCATATTGGAAGGACTTTAGGATATGGGGCAGGAGTCAGGGTGTAGTGTGGTGTGGTGAGAAAAGCACCAGTTTGGGAGTCACAAGGGCTGGGTTCAGATCCCAGCTTTAACTCTTACTCCTGAAGTGACCGAGGTCAAAGTCACTTAACCAGATGAGCTTCCTCATCTGTAAAATGAAAGAATTGGTATAGACAGTCTCAAAGGTCTATTCCAGCTCTAAGTTGATGATACCTTGATGAAGGGAAAGGAAGGGGCAGGTTCTCTTTCTGTGTCTAACCTCTATTGGCCAGGGCCATGAAGCTTCAGGGGTCACCTGAAGAAATGTATGTGGGATATCCAGGCTTGTAAGGGTCTCGAGGCCAACTGAGGCTATCAGCAAGACTGGGGAGGGAGGAAACTGGGGAGGCATCAGCAAGCCATGCTCCATGTCTGGACCTTTTTTTGAGCTTTCTTTATGTCTCGGGGGAAAGGGGTCCATATAAGCAGCTCATCTCTTTTCCCAGGAGGACCTCAAGATCACTCACCATGCAGATAATACTCTGAGAAGTTTCTGCAAGTGGCAGAAAAGTATCAATATGAAGGGTGACACCCACCCAATGCATCATGATGTGGCGGTCCTGCTGACGAGGTATGGAGTGGGAGTGGGTGGGAGCCTACTTTTCACTAGTGTCCTATTGACTTTCTTAGAGAGCCTCTGATCTATGGGGAGATCATGGCTCTGGCCCTTGGAGAGCTTTAGTATAGCAGGGGAGTTATAGCTTCTGCTATTAGGAAGCTCCTACTCTAATGAACAAAGCATATCTAACCCTCAGAAAGCTCCCAGTCTAATGAGGAAGCTCCCCCAGGAAGCTTCCAGTCTAATGGGGAAGATGTGTGTCCTACCCTCAAAGAGCTCCCAATCTGATGGTGGAGACATGTACCCTAGCTTTAGGGAGCTCCCAGCCTAATGAGGGAGAGGTGTGCCCTACCCTCAGAGAGCTTCCAGTCTAATGGGGAAGATGTGTGCCCTATCCTTGGGGAACTCTCAATATGATGGTGGAGACATGTACCCTACCTTCGGGGAGCTCCCAGTTTAATGAGAGAGATGTGTGCCTGCTCCACCTTTAGGGAGCTCAAAGTCTCTTGGAAGAGAGATCAGGGAGATCTCTTATTCTGATTAGTCTCTAGGAAATTCCTAGTCTGAAGAAGGTCATAGAGTCCATGCTCTCGGAGCCTCTGTCCCAAATTTCCCAGATTAATGGAGAAGCCAGAGATTGTCCTTTAGTCAGTTAGCAAGCATTTCTTAAGTATGTGACCCAGGGGTGGGCAATGGGGGGTGACATGGTCAACCTTTAGGAGAATCTCTGGCAGCTGAGTGGAGGATGTGTTGGAGTAGGGAGAGGCTTGAGGCAAGGAGCCTTGTGGGAAAGCTATTGCAGTAGGCCAGCCCCGAAGGGATGAGGGTCTGTACCAGAATGGGGACACTGAGCTATAGGAAAGATGTTGTGAAGATAGAACAACATGATTTAGCAATGGACCAGAAATATAAGGAGAGGGAGAAGTCGAGGATGACTAGTGATTCTGGCCAATGGGATCCCCAAGCGAGACAGCATGGAGGGAAAAGCAAAGAAGAGAGAATGAGAAAAGATACAGGAATTTTGGAGATAATGAGCAGAGAAGTGAAGTACTTATGGGTAATGGTAAGATCCAAAGGCCTAACCAGCTTTGTGTGTGTAGCTGAGAAGGAATAGAGGGCTGAGTCATGGAAAGTGAGCAGATTGAGGAAATGGGAAGTTGGGGTATTTGGGTATTTGGGGGGCATCAGTGTAAATGCTGAAGTCCCCTACTGTGAGCTCAGAAGTTGGAATGGAGATCGTCAGAGATCCCCTGATTTCATAGGGGAGGCAGGGTCAGTCTCCTTAGCACAGGTGCTTGAATTTTTTCCTCTAGAAGTAGGAATAAAGTGCACTGAGCCATCCACATTCCTTTACCAAGTTCTCTTGGTAGGTAGGTATTTCCTGTAGCTAGGAAACAGAATGAAAGTTAACTAATAATAACTGGCATGTCACACTTGGTGGTTTGCAAAGCCCAGCAACTCTGTGAGCTAGGTGATAGAAGTATTATGATTATTGCCACTTAACAACTGAAGTAACTAGATTTGCTCATGGTCATATAACTGCCAAGTATCCCAGTGGGAACCCAAACCCAGGCTTTTCTGTCTGAAAGTCAGTGCCTTCCTCAGTAGGCCAGCTATGAGCTCCTTGAAGGCGGGACTGCCTTCTCTATATAGATAGAAGGGCCCTTGGTGCCTAGCCCAGGGCTCTGTATATTATGTGATCTCAGTAAATATTCGAATTGAATTGAAATTAACTGAATTGCCTGTCTTTCTCTCTGTGCCCCAGGAGAGATCTCTGTGCTGCCATGAACCGGCCCTGTGAGACACTGGGCTTATCACACGTATCAGGCATGTGCCAGCCCCACAGGAGCTGTAACATCAATGAAGACACTGGTCTCCCTCTGGCCTTCACTGTGGCCCATGAACTTGGACACAGGTATCTACCTCCTACCTAAAAATTATCATCTTGTGAATAAATGGAAATGTTCCTGAAAATTTAGACTTTTCTGTTTCCAGCAAAAGATTCCTAATCAGCTGGGGCTGGATTAGATTACCTCTGAGCTACCTTTTCATTTCTGAGATCCTGTGATTCTGCTCTACAATAATAATATAGAAAGATATGTGATAGATACATAGATGGTGGAGATGGGTGGATGGAGAGATAGATGGACAGATGGATGGATGATAGTTGATAAATAGATGATAGTTGGATAGATAGACGGACGGATGGATAATAGACATATAAATGGGTGGATGATAATTATAAATATATACATAAAATATAAATATATTTAAATAAACAATAGATGAATGAATAGATTATAGATATATGGATGGGATAGACAGACAGATAGGTAGGTAGATAGATGGATGGATGGATGGATGGATAAATGGACAGACAGACAGATAGATAGAATTTATGTAGAACTTTAAGGTTTGCAAAGCACTTCACCCATGTTATCTCCCTTGGTCCTCCCATAAGTCAGGAGGATAAAGGCAGTAATTGGCCCAATACCTTCTAGGCAAAGAACCCCAAACAGGAAGGCAAAACCACTACCTCTTAGCCAAGAAAGCAGAAGGTGCCGCCCGTGCCCCTCCCTACTGAGGGCACTTAACTCTTCTCTATTCTAAAGTGTCCTATAGACGGTCTATAAAAAATGGAGAAGTCCCAGGCCTATGGACTGGCATTCTCTGATGTGGGCACTTCTACCATGATTATGTTAGAATGCCGAGGGAAACCAAGGGAGTCTGGAATGTATCCTCCTGCTGCACGTGGGGCCGGGCAGCTCTGGGGAGCCAGCTCACTAGGATGTCTTTCTTCCATGCCTGGGTTGGGAGTGTCTCTGGGAGATTTGAGTCCCTTAAGTTCAGTATGATAAGGTTGGTGGTAGTTGTGTCCTTGGCAGGAGCACCTTCTGCCTTGGGCCTGCCCGTGTCCAAGAGCTCTGGACTCCTTACACTTGGTTGTCATGGGGCCCTGACGCCCTGCCTGCTAGCTCAGTCTGCCCAACCTGGCTCGTTTGAGTTCCCTGCACGCCTGTCCTTCTGCCCCACCCAGAGTCCGCAAGGGATTCCATTTCATTACCAGACCATGTTAAATATCCCAGATTGCCTGGAGGCTCCAGTCCACTCTGACCCCAATGTTTCTGTCTCAGCCGTGACCCATAGCATTGAGGTTATTGGGGGGGCCATGCTCCTCACCCTCCTGTCCTCAGATGTCTGGGGAATGACTTCATTTCATTAAACTCTCTTGAGTCAAAGGTCATGAAACCCCCCTTAGGGGCACAGGGTGAACTTTGGCCCTGGCTTTGTTAGTTTTTTGCCAAAAGGATCTTTCCCAGCTGTCACACAGGAGGAGTTTGGGAGCTTAGCTCTAGATAGAACCAGAAGGAACCTTAGAGGTCATCTACTCCAACCTCTTTGTTTCAGTTGGGGAAACTGAGGCCCAGAGAAGATAGGTGACCTGTCCAAGGTCCTATTGAACCTAGGCCATTTGATGCCAGGACCAGTGCTCCTAAGGAGATGTGTGACCTTGGCCAAGTCTTTTCTTGAACGAGGGATTAATTTCCTGATCTGTAGCCCGAGGGAATGGATCACATATCACACATCGCTGAAGTGAAATAAGTGGCCTTGGTACATTTACCTGGAAACCGGGAGGACATCTTTAACTTCTGGACTAGGCAGGTGATTTAGAGCTGACATCTCTCTGTGAGCTTCTTGGCTGTTGGGAATAATTCTCATTCCTTTGTGCTGAGACCCTGGGAAGTAACACTGGGGCCCTGGAGCACCCTCACTCAAGTGACCTTCTGGGTTAAACTGGAATGGCTCATGAAGTCCGACCCCACTGACGGACACTTACCATTGCAGGGCCCAGCCTGAGCTAGCAGCCGGTCAGAAATCCCACTGGACAAGATCATTGTCAGCAAATTAATGGGACAAGGGAGCTTGCTCACAGGATGCTGGACCTTCAAAGATCCAGTGGTCTTCTGGCCTCAGAGGGCTTTCTGAGAGAACTTGGAGCACCCTGATTGTCTGGGGGATAATTATAAACCATTCTACTCAAAAGAAATAATAGGGCATTAAAAAAAATCGAAACTGTGATTTGTAGCTTTTCCCCAGTTCAGGCTGAACTAGCAAAGCTTTAAAGCAAACCCACAAATCAGCAGGAAAGAGAGATGGTAAAAATAGCCACAGCTGGGGCCAGCTGTGGGCAGCCACTCTCTCCATTTGGTGTGATGACCCTTGGTTCATGGTCTTAGATGACCCCAAACCTGTGGTAGATCATATTTCCCTTCCTCCATCTATTTCCCCTGTCCCCTCCCACCAAATCTGTAGTTTAATGGGAGAAATGGGAGAAGGGAGAATTCTCCTTATATGGAGGAGGGGGAGCAGAGAACGATCTGCATTGGTGAAGGGAGTTTCCTCATCTATAAATGAAATCACAGCTACAGTGAGAGCTGTCTGCCCAAGGAATGAATTGCCCTGGGAGGTAGTGAGTTCCCCATCCATGGAGGTGTTCAAGGAAAGGCTCAATGACAACTTATTGAGGATGCCATGGAGAAGATTTGTACTTTAAGTCTGAGTTGGATTAGGTATCCTCCGAGCTCCCTGCCCACTCGGAGGTTTTGTGATTCTATGAAATGAGATAATAGATGTGAAAGATTTTTATAAATCAATCAATTAAGCAATGAATCAGGTACCTGCAGTGTGCCAGGCACTGTGTGCTTCATATGGAGAATAACTGAAGCAGTACCTGCCTCAAGAAGCTTCCATTTTCTTAGGGGATAAAATGCTGCTCCCCTGGACGGGGTTATTACTATGACGAGGAAATAGGAAATCCATATAGAGCAGCTACATTCCTTTCATTTGATCTTCTCAGTCCTTCTAGAAGACAGGCAGAGTGTGGCAGCACTCATTAAACCTATTTTGCAGAATAGGAAACTGAGGACATAGACATCATAGCATTTAAAATGGGAAGGAACCAAGAGTGTGCTAGTAAATGTTTAACAATCGGCTATACATTAATGCATGTACATATATTATGTACATACAGCACACTGTAAAACGTAATCTGATCTGCATAAGTAATCATTTCTCCATCACTTACTTAAATACAATCAATAAAACAGTAAATTGAACGCTGATTTATAACATTTCCTGATTTCTGAGTTGTAAATGCTCACACTGAAAATTTAATTATCAGCTCACCCCTGGAAGGGACCTTAGTGGTCATCTAGTTACATTTTATAGACTTGCAAACTAAAACCCAGAGGCCTTATCCCCACGGTGTGTTAATAGAACCCCAATGTCCTGATTCCCCACCTGTGCTTTCCCCTCTCAGCAGGCATTTTTTAAAAACCTGACAGGTGGGGGCGGTCCCCTGCCCCTGCGTCCTTCTCTTGTCTGGGTCAACAGTCTCTGCTGTGTTTTTGTGAAGGGTTGGTGTCCCCAAATGGGGAGCAGCGCGTGCTGGAGGCCCGGCTGCTCACCCGTTCCCTCGTGGGCCTGTGCTCTTCATGCAGTTTTGGGATTCAGCATGACGGAAGCGGCAATGACTGTGAGCCCGTTGGGAAAAAGCCTTTCATCATGTCTCCACAGCTCCTGTACGACACCTCGCCGCTCACCTGGTCCCGCTGCAGCCAGGAGTACATCACCAGGTTCCTCGAGTAAGTGCTAACTGCCGTTTCCCTTGAGACCCCTCTCAGCCCCTTGGATGCTGGGGCTTGTCCCCCTGTTGCTCTTTCTTTGATCTGGGAGAGGGAAGGTTAGACCATCAGTGATGCCGTTCAGTCTAACAGATGTTTGTAACTGACCTACTACGTGCAAAGGCAGTGTGTTGGGTGCTGGACACAGACAAAAAATGAAAGGCTCTTTCCTTAAGAAATTGACTAGGGAGGGGGCGGATGGGGAGGATATGGAGTCCAACCCGCAGTCAGATAAGGGAATACAAGATCAGGAGAGGGGAGAGGGAGCGCCAGCAGCTGGGGGATCAGAGAGGGCTTCGGGAAGGGAGTGGCCGCTGCTCGGAGCCCAGTGGAAGGTGGCGAGCCTCACAGGCAGAAGAGGTGAGGAGGAGGTGCCTTCGCGTGTGGGGAGCAGCCCGGCACAGCCCACCCAGTAGGGGACAGCCGGCAGGTCAGTGTGGCAGAAACGTAGCATGCCTGAAGGTGAGGCGAGTCAAGGAGCAGTGAGGAAGTGCCTCAGTGTGTACAAGTACAAGCAAAAAGAGAGTCCCTGCCTTCAAGGAGCTTACATTCTAATGGGGGAAGACAGTGTGGGAAACGCAGTTGAAAAGCTGGGAAAGAATGAAGGATGTGGAGCAAGACCTATTACCCCCATGAAGTGCCTGGACTGTGGAGGGCCTTACATGCCAGGCTCAGGAGGTAGAGGCAATAGGGAGCTATTGAATGCTTCTGAGCAGGGGAGTTACACTGGAGTTTGGTTATACAGGAATATGAATGGGAATGCCCCAAATCCTACTTTGCCTTCCAGAGGCTTCTTGGTTGATTGAGTGTGAATCTAGGAATAGAGAAAGAGACAATAAGCTTGATCCAGTGCATCCTACTATGTGAATACCAAAGCAGTGTGTGTGTGTGTGTGTGTGTGTGTGTGTGTGTGTGTGTGAGATGGGAGAGGAGAGTATTCAGGCTGGCAGACACCCTGCCTTCTGGTTCCATGAGGGATGCAGCAGTCCTGTGGCTAAAGGGACCTGTGGACCCATCTTAATCTGGAAAAATCTCCTATCCTAATTCACCCAGATAAAATAGCATAGAATTTAAGGTCCTGTATGAACTGATGCAGAGTGAAGGAAGCAAAGCCAGGGAAACAGTGTGGACAATATTAGTGAAAAGAACAGCAATGACCGCAAAGCCCAGAATGGCATGTGGCTGTCATCACCGACCTTGACCTTGAAAGGGATGAGAAAATTTCTCTCTCTCTCTCTGTCTCTTTGTCTGTCTCAGTCTGTCTCCCTGTCTGTCTCTGTCTTTCTGTCTCTCTGTCTCTGTCTCTGTCTCTCTCTTCCTTTCACCTCTATCTCCCATTTCTTTCTTTCTCTCTGTCTTTTCCCTCTCTTCTCTCCCTCCTCCTTTCTTCCTTCCCTCTTTCTCTCTCTGCCTCTCTCATATCTCAGTCTCTCTCTCCCTTCCTCCCCTTCCATCTCTCATCTCTCTTCCATCTCTGTCTCTGTCTCCATCCCTCTCTCATCTCTGAAGAGGTGGGAGCAATGGGTGTGGAACTTGACTCGTTCCATCAGACCCCACTGATGTGTTGGCTAGTTTTGGTGAACTGCTTTTCTTTCATTCTTTTTAAAAAATATTTTCTTTGCAAAGGATAACTTGCTGGGGAGGGGAAGGCTATATCTGGAAACAAAGGTGATGTAAAAACAACAGCCAGCCCTGTTTTTTTTTTTCTTAAAAGAAGCCGAGGTCCTCCCTTGTCTAGGACTGGGCAGTTTCCATTTCTAAGCACTTACAAATGACCTTCCTCAGATGGAGTGTTTTTGAGTCTATTTATTTTCCTTTTCCTTGTAAACATGTCCTAGAAAACACACACCCTTGTGTGATCTGGGCTGTGTGGAGACTGGGGGAGAGGGAAGAGGGACCAGGCACTTAGACACTCAACAAAACCACTTCCTGCCCTCCCTGCAAAGACAGGACACATACAGAGAAATAAGGCTGCGGGGGATGGTGCCTAGATGCCGCCTCTTCCGTGAAGTCTCTCCCGATTCCCCTCCTAGCCTCCACTTTACTCTCTATAAGGACTTGGACTATGTCTCGTATTGACTTCTCTTTTACTTCTCTTCAGCAGAATGGAAGCTAGCTTCTCAAGGGCCATGATTGTTTCATTCTTGGTATTTCTATCCCAAGGACCTGATACAGTGCCTGGCACATGGTGGGCACTTATTAAATGCTTATTGATTGATGTGGGCACTCATGCCAATACTATGGTCATAACCCATTTGTGCTTTCTTGTCCTGTCTCGTTCTCGTTCCCAGAAAACCTCTGTGGGGGAGGGGAACTTGCTTTAAAAAAGCCCAACCCAGAAAGCAAGCATTTATTCAGAGACCAGTACCTAGTAGGCGCTTTATAGTTGTTGCCCGCCTTGATCCTCACAACAACTCTGGACATAGGTGCGATTATTATCCCCATTTTAAAGTCGAGGAGATGGAGGCAGATAAGGTTAAGTGACATACTCAGGGTCACACACCTAGGCAGTATTTGAGGCCACATTTGAACTCAGGTCTTCCTAATTCCAGGCTCAGTGCCCCTAGCTGTCCACTAGATATTGCTGTTCAGTCATTTCAGCTGTTTCTGATCTTTGTGACTCCTTATTAGGGGTTTCCTTGGCAGAGATACTGGAGTGGTTTGCCATTTCCTTCTCCAGCTTGTTTTGTAGATGAGGAAACTGAGGCAAACAGGGTGAAGTGACTTGCCCAGGGTCACTCAGCTAGTGTTTGAAGCCAGATTTGAACTCAGCTTCTTCAGACTCCATACCAAGTGCTCTGTTCACTGCACCACCTAGCTGCCCCATGTCTACTAGGTGAAACCTTTTTATTATAGGAGACAGTGAGAACAGGGTTGTAGCCAGTCCGGAATCTGGTGCTAGCCTCCACCATAGGGCCAGCATCCAAGAATCATAGAGGTGAAAGGAGAGATCACAGTGAGCACAGATTCCCCAAGTTGGAAGGTGACCTCTGGCCTCTACAACTCTGAGAGTCTAAGAGTGGTCAGGGGGAAGTGTGAGCCTTGAAGGACAGAGCAGACAGCTGCCCAGCAAGGGAGGCATTTCTCCTTGCCTTTAATGGCGACTTTACTGTGTTCAGGAGCAAAGTCACCATCACAGGCAAAGTTACTTATCAAGGGGCCAGGGCTGGAAAATCCCAGATATTTATGGTCCCCAGTGAGAAAAGGAGGGCTTGGCTGTAAGGCCTATGGGAAATCACATCTTCCTGACCAGCTAGAGCTTGTAGGCTACATTCTGTCTGCTCCCCCAAGGACATGTTCTTGGGCCTTCAGCCTCCTGACTGTCTCCTCACCTCCAGCCTGGGGAGAAGCCCATTAGCACAGGTCCAGACTGGCTGCCCCCTCCTGATGGAGGAATGCTTGTCCTTCTCAGCTGCACTGGAGGGAGAGGGGGAACACCTGAGCTGGCCTGGCCTTTATCTTTAAAGGGGGCGATTTGGACGGGGGATGGGGTAGGAGCAGAGAAAGGCCCCCCATAGAAAAAGCAGAAAATGTGAAAAAATTGTACCGTTTTTGTTGCTGGTTGCCCCTGATTTTACTAAGTTTGCTTAAATCCATAGTGTTGTTTGCTGTCTTAGTGGTGGGCAGGACTAGGATTATTGTTTTAGAGACAGGGAAAGTAAACCCAAGGCAAAAGCAGAAAAAAAAAAATGCAAGCTTCTTACAGTGGAAACAATGCATTAATGACGGGCTTTTCATTTGTTTCGCAGAAGGCTTGTGTTAAGGGTGCTGAACCAAGGCCAGGCAGGGAAGGCCAGCGGAGAGGTGGCCTGGAGCCAAGTGCACCCAAGCCACTAGGATCTTACCAGTCCTTGGATCACATGAGGTCTGGGGCTTCCGTCTCCCAGGGTGGTGGTATCCGCAAGGCTCTGTTCCCAGAACCTTGAATAAATACCTAGGCCAGTCAACCAGCTAATCTTTACTGAGCTCAATTCAGTTCAACAAATATTTATTAAGTGCCTACTGCATACAAGGCCCCATTCTCAATGTGGAAGAGCCAAAGATAGCTATGTGGGATTCTGGTTTCCAGTATGGATACTAGGTGACCCCTGAGAGCCTGTCCAACTTTGAAATTCCATGATATGTCCTGGTCCTTACTCTCAAGGAAATCACTGTCTAATAGGAAGGGAAAGCAAAGCCTAGGTAGATGCTGATGATGCTGATGATAGTGGTGATGATGGTGATGATGGTGGTGATGATGGTAGTGATGATGGTGGTGATGATGGTGTGATGATGGTGGTGGTGATGATGATGACGATGATGATGGTGATTGGTGATGGTGATGATGGTGGTGATGATGATGATGATGGTGATGGTGATAATGGTGGTGATGATGATGATGGTGGTGATGATGGTGGTGATAATGATAATGGTGGTGATGATGATGATGATGGTGGTGATGATGATGATGGTGATGGTGATGATGGTGGTGATGATGATGATGGTGGTGATGATGATGGTGATGATGATGGTGATGGTGATGGTGATGGTGATGATGATGATGATGATGATGATGATGATGATGATAAGAAAGTATGAGTAAGGGGTGGATGGGCAAAAGGAAAGGAGAAATTTGAAGACGGAGAGGGGCCACCCTCACTTGAATGGATAGGTCTCTGGAGAAGGTGGGCCTTGGAGGAAGGGGTAGATGCCCAGGTATCTTCAGGCACGAGGAATGTTGTCGACAAATACAATAACATTGCTACAATATTCTAAAGTTGACAAAGTGGAGAGCACAGATAGCATTGCCCCCATTTTACGGAGAAGGAAACAGGCTCATAGAAGTTTTTGTGACTCGCCCATAGTCACACAGTCAGTCAGCATCAAAGGCAGGGTTTTGAGCCAGGTCTCTTATGACTCCCAGTTACTTTTCCAGCAGGAATGATCGCTTGGGTCCAGATGGTGCAGGGCTAAGGAATTTG